TCCCAAAGGATATCTCTGCATATCTCAGAAGCAAGGTCTCTGCCTAAGCATTCAGTCCTGTTTCCTGGTCCTAGGCCTCTGCCAAGGGCAAGGCAAACAACCTGGAATCTCTCTTCTCTGGGGTGAGCCACATAATACTAGGACTCCACTTTCCCCAAAGCAAGCCATAAAACCTCAAAAGATTAATCCAACACATTCTGTGTGTTTTGCGATGGCAATAAAGAAATTCTCTGACCTACCTTGTCTGATAGTAGATCTAAGCCCTTCTTTCCATAAGCAGTCCTGCCCACACCCCGGGGGGGAAAAATGCTGCTCAGTTAGGTTTAAAGAATCTAAACAGTCTTTGCTACTTCCACACCCCCCCCCCTTTGGAATGTACCCTCTCTTCCAGTGCTATGTCCTCTGTAGCCATCTACTCTTCGCCAGATCTACAATGTCTTTGACAATACACACTGAGCCTTTGGGTCTTCAATCTGAAAGCTTCCATGGCATTTAAAACTATAATCAAATGGATCTGTTTTGCTTTCCTCTTGTTAACCTGCCTTTTGCTTTAAGGGTGTGGACCACAAGGAAGAAAGACATCATTCCACCCCTATGCTGGAAAGAAGCCTCAGCAAGAGGAAGTTTCCCCTATGCTTCCGCATATCCTGGCAAAAGCTTCCCCCATTGCATAATTGCTTCCTACAAATGCCTAGTGTATTGAACTCATCCAAAACCTGAGTTTTCCCCCATGGTAGACAACTGCACCAACTTGTCAAGAAAGCAACTTCAGGCTAAAGGATACTACTTGATGGGTAAAGCTCCTATTCCTAAAACCCACATAAAAGCAGGCCATAATCGACAACCCAAGTCTGAAATCCCAGGGCTCCTACAGCAAGAAGAGAAGCAGAGACAGGAGAAAGCCGTGACCCTCTGACCCCAGATAGTCTGGCCTATACAGCAGAAAAACAGCAAAGGAAACCCGGCTCAAACAATACAGCTGTCAAGGACCACATCCAAGACTAATCTCTGAATGACTCACACACCCAAACATCATGCTTGCACACACACACAAACACACACACCCCCAAACCTGCTTGCACATAGACATAAACACACACACATCCAAAAATGCTTATGCATAACCTCAAACATGCTAACACACACCCCAAAAAATGCTTACACACACACACAAGCATACTTACACACACACACACACACACACACACACACACTTGGAAACTCCCCACAGGCAGCGAAGCTCTAGAAAGTAGATGAGGAGCTCACATTGTACACACTCCCAACCTTGAATCGCCCTCAAGTGGAGACTTAGGCTGCCCATCTAATTTAGCAGCGAGGAAGAAAGATGAGGTGAGTGGACCCCAGAACATTGCTCATCCTGTTTTGGTCCTGATGCTGTTCTTGAAAAGCCTTTTTATCTCCATCCCAATACCATCATTTAGTCTCATCTTCAAGAGAAAGTATTGTCTCCCTTGTTGGGAAGACTAAATGAGCCTGTACGGGAAGTGGAGTCTGTGCATAGGAAAAGCACAGCATTGGGGTGACTACTTCCTGTGCCCAAAGGTCCACGCTGACTTCGTTACAATCACACTTGTGAATAAGAGGACACATTTGGCCATGTTCACACAAAACAACAAAACCACAGACTTGGCATTCCTCATTTGTTTCTCAAGCGCTGCTTTAGAGTCACATGACACGTTTACAGAGGTCCTAATCCTAGGACCTGCCCCCAGATCAACAAAATCATAATCTCCACAATCAACTCAAGAACTTCTCGACCAGTCAAGTTCTCCAAGCAATTCTAACATGCAATCAAGTCGGGGGCGAATACTATGTTCCTTTAGACACATCACACAAAGTTTCTGTTCATACCAATCACAGGACATAAAGCTGTTCTGGTCCCATCTTTCCTGGGATACACGCTGTGAGAGGATAATTTTACGTCAACTTGACACAAACCAAAGTCATCTGAGGGGAGGGAACCTCAGGTGAGAAAATGCCTTCATAAGATGGGGCTTTAGCAAGACTGCAGGGCATTTTTTTAATTGGTGTTTAATGAGCCCAACCCATTGTGGGTGATGCCATCCCTGGGCTGCAGGTCCTGGGTTCTATAAGAAAGCAGGCTGGGTAAGGCACATGAAGCAAGCCAGTAAGCCGCACTCCTGCAAGACCTCAGCATCAGCTCCTGGCTCCAGCTTCCCGCCCTTTCTGAGTTCCTGTCCTGACTTCTTCAGTGATGAAAGTGATGTGGAAGTGTGAGCCAAATAACCCCTTCCTCCCCGGTTAGATTTTAGTCACAGTGCTTCTTCACAGCAATAGTGACCCTAATAAAGTCACACACTAAGACTCATAGGAATGTTTATCCATAAACACATGCAAAAATACACACAAGACATATAGGTAGACACACATAAAAGTGAAAATGGGTTGTAGAAGGAAGCTAACCAAAAAGATAGAAAGGGTACACCTGATAATAAAATGTGTCAAATTTCAAGATCTAAAGAATAATTGAGACTTTTAGAAGGAGTTACAAAATGAGGAGCGGGTAAAATGTTCAGACAAAGAGCAGGCTTCTTGGAAGACTACTGATATGAGACCATTCATCACTTATGATTCTACATCAGCAAGGAACTCCTCAGAGCTTACATGCACGCACATACATGCACACACACACACACACACACACACATGCACACACACTATCAAAGGTCAATGACAGATCCGTCGGAGCTGCACCCAAAACTAGCACACACAGTACCTGATCTCTAGCTGCCTGCTATCACTAAATGTGGGTTGAGCACAGACCAGGATAAAAGGTGGTAAACGAGTAAAAACAACGAACACCCCCATAGGAAAAGAGTGCTTGTCCCAGATCCCTGGGGCAAAACTAAGAATAAGTCAGCTTAAGGTAATGAGATTCAGCACAAAACAGAGAAAGTTCGTGTCCCTGCAGGCATCATTAACTGCATCACACAGAGCAGAACCACCTAGGGAAAAAGAGAAAAAGCCCTGCAGATCCGTGGTCAGGGTCTGCATCAGTGAGAAAATAGATCCTGCACTACAAAGGCTGCCTGATGGACAGGCCAATGGAAGACATAGCTTCCCTGTTTAACCCCCTTCATAGATCCTAAAGTCCGGTGGGCCTCCCTAACCAGACCCATACAAGCTGTCCCTCTCTTGGTGCCCCTCCTCCATAGGCATTAGGCTGTCTTGCTCTTTTAAACCTGACTTAATCTGAACCTAGGATGCCCTCTGTCTACTGGCCGCTACTCCATCCTTCTCAATTTAGTCATTGTGTCCTCTCTAAAAAGCCCAGGTTCTCATGACATCCAATGCAGGGAACCCATTTGGCTGTCAATCCTGCGTGTCCTGGACCATGGGTAAGTAAAACCACCTAGGAGCAAACCCCGGACCTCTGAATCCCATGCCACCTCACACATAGGCAAGGTATATACGAGCTAACTAAATGCTTGTTTTGATCAACTAACATTGGCAAGATGCCAAAACACAAGCGCCGGTGTACCTGGTTAAAAGGGCGTCCATAGGATCCAACTGGGAAAATTCTGAATGTGGAGGTCTGCGTTCAAAACTAAAATGATCTAAATAAGACAAAATAGTTAAAGACTCTTGACCTGTTTCCCCATCTATGAAATAAGAACAATATTCGACAACTACTTATGAAGAAAGCACCCACTATGCTCTCAGCACACAGTAGGCCCTCCTTACTATACTAAGTGATGAGAGCCCCTCCCACTCAACACACTGGTGTTCATTAGTCTTCCTCCTTCGGACCACAAGCTCCTTCAAGGCCTTCCTTCTCCCACCCCTACAGAGCGCCTTGGACTCATAAGGGTTGTTTAGCTGCCAGCAAATTCCCCCAGAGGCCTCGCTCTGTTTCGCCTGTTCAAGACTATGGAAAAGGACAAGGGCTCTTAATCTCAAGAGTGAACCTGTAGGGGGAACCTTCTACTCCTCTGGGCTGCGCTGCTGGACAAGAGTTAGAAAGGCCACTTGGGTTCCTATTTCCCCAACTCCCCGCCCATAGGAAGGTTTCTGTTCTTAGGGGCTCATTCCTAGTGTTCGGAACACAATCAACTTCCAACGCAGCTAAAGGGCTGCGGAACAGGTTACAGAGTCAGGAGCTACCAAGCCAGGCTTGGTGGGCAGGGAAGGCTGGGGAGGCTACAGTGAGCTTGCTGGTGTTGCTCACGTGCGCAGCGCACCCGGGTCATCAGCCTCCGAGTCCTCTGGGGCCTGGCAGCAGAGAAAAGGAGGTTCGCACATCCACCAGACTTCGCATGGGTTCCATCATGGCCCACCTAGTCAACCTCCAGCGACCCTCCAGCGGCACCCACCGACAGCCAGTCCCAGGGTGGGTGGTCCGCAGCGCCACCTCGGCCACCGGACTGCTACTTAAGTTGGGAGCCCCGCTAGGTCCACGAGCGCGCGCCCACCACCCGCGCCCACTGCCACTTATACACACCAAGGAACTGCGCCCGGAGCTTCTTAAATTCCTCAAGCACCTCCCCATAGTAGCATCCCGCGCCAGTTACCTACTCGCGGCACCCAGAGCCCCCCCCCCCACACACACACACATGCTTTGGAACCCTCAAACCCCGCGCATAGACCTCGCGCCCTCCCACCGGGCAGTGCCCCGAGCCCTGCGCGCCACCAAACGGCATACCTTGGGGGTCTGCACTTCGGGTCCCACCGGCACCTCCAACTTCCTCTTGGTGACCCAGAAGAACAACAGCACGGTGATCCAGAGCACCCCGAAGATGGGCAGTGCCAGGCGGCGAGTCAGGCGCCGCATGGTCCCCTCTGCCTGTTCCTCTCGGCGGCGACGCGTCCCTGGGGCACCCCCCGGCGGTCAGGGGCGGAGGGGCACGAGTCGCCGAGCGCCTCTCTCTAAGAGAAAAGCTTCTCCGGGATCCCGATGTTGGGTTGTGGGATCCTGCCCCTCCCGCTTCAGAGAGAAGCCACAGCCGGGGACCAAGCGGCGAGGGGCGCCGGAGACTCGAGACGCGGCCGGGAAGGGACGAGGGGCAGCTCAGTAGGGCGCCCGCTCCAGCCGGAGAGCCGCGGTGACCGCCGAGATGCTGCTGCGCGCTGTGACTGCCTTTGCCCGCGGCCGCCGCGAGGGAAACCGCCTGGAGCAGCTGGGAAGGTAGAATCCGAGGCTCTGCCCGGCACCCCAGGAGGAGCACGAGGAGGAGGGAGCGCGGAGGGAGGGCGGGCCCGACAGACAGACTGACTCCGAGCAAGAGCTGGGCGGGAGGGAACCCGGCTCTGAGAGGGGGCGCTACCGCCTCCCGCCGACCGAGGAGCACCGCGCGGTTGAGGGACCTTGGAAGCAGCTCTCCGGACTGTCCCGGGCTTGCGGGTCGGGATGGGGCGGGGTGGGGCGGGGACGGGTTACCGGAATGCTAGCTACTCCCGCTGCAAGCTGGTACTTAAGGTTCGCACCAACCCGCGCCAGGTGAGGCACTGCCTGGGAGGAGTTCCCGATCCATGCAGGGCGCTGCATGTGGCACTCCCATTAGGATACCCTAACCCGCAGCCAACATTGGGATAGTAGGGCTGACCCAGATGCTGCCTCAAGTCCAGGCTCACTTGCTTGACCATTCAGGGCCAAGGTCAAGTTCAGTCATCTCCCTAGGGCATTTCTTTGCCTTTGAGCAGGTGCCTGGCAACTTTCTCTGCTTAATGGAAAACTGAGTCGGTCTAAATTTAACTTGAAAGTTGTCCTTTTAAAAATTAAGGCAAGATTATCTCCCCGAGGAGTTTTCTCTCCTTGTAAAGTATCGGGACTTGCTAAAGAGAGGACCTAAAGTTAGGGCAACTACAAGAAGCTGCGAGAAAATGACCGTGGGAATGTGAACACCAGGTACACGGGAGTATCTTTCAAAATTCCTTTCCCAAAGGCTTTTAAGGAATATGCCCTCCAGCCACAGACTAAAGTCGTTTCGATTTAGAGTCAGGAAAGATTCTGAATCCAGTTTCTGCATAGGCCTCAGGTAGGCTGGAATTCTAGCCCTATCTGTAAATTAGGAAATGGTTCCTAACACAGTCTACCACACCAACAGTGCCAATCACAAATGCATTCCATCCCATCCCTTCCCTACTGGAGTCTGCGTTTTAAAACGGATGTGAACACTGAATGCCAGGTATCCATCGGTCTGACCTGAGAGTTCAGAGCGAAAAGGTGCGCAAGTTTTGGACAGTCTGGGGGAGCAGTGGCCACTGAAGCCACGCTGCCGTTGCGTTAGAGGAAGGCTGGCTTCCAGTTTCTTCAGGTGAGAATGGCACAGCAAGCTGTCCAGCCGCGTCCTCCCTGCATCTTCCTTCACAGAGCTAGAGCCTGGCATCCGGGCAGCGCCCACACCTGAGTGCAGGTAAGAAAGGTGTCAGTCAGCTCTCCAGACGCCAGAACTCCTCCCCCTGGTGCTATGAAGCCCTCAAGACACATGCTCAGTAACAGAGGAACCCCCACAAAGCCACCAGTATTTGGTACCTTGTCTTTCAGACATAAGGCAGCCATGCCCAAAGCCATGGAAGAGTCCTGGAGGAAAGGGGCTGGGGTTAAGAAATCTGGGGTTGGGCTGTGGAAATCAAACAGCCAGAAAAAGCTTGCCAGCCCATTGCTAAATGCTACTGGGTTTGCTGAGCACCGCAGACCCCGGCTGACTGCTGACATGTCCCACACTTGTCTTTGTTGGACTCCTAGCCTCTGAAAGGTTGGGTCTACTCTCCGGTTGATGCTTCCGTCAGGCAAAGGCCCCTGGGTAAATAACTGCGTAGGAGGGGTGGGAAATGGTTAAAAAAAAAAAAAAAAGCACCCACTCCTGCAGCTTTCGGAGCTCCACGGATCCTTTCCTGGAGCCTCACCCTAGGCCCCTGGTCCCTGGCCTACAAAGGGTTCTGTGTCAGCTCTGCAGGGGACCCCACCCCCCACCTCCAGGCAAGCGCCAGAGCATCAGCGCCTGAGTCCATTGCTCAGCGCTTTGTGATGCTGCCTCTGAGTACCAGATGGCAGACAGTTACACAACACCACCACCGCCAAGCTCTTGAGATGGTGCAGCCCCACACTGCCTGCTGCTGAAGGGCTTCATTCAGACTGGTCGGCATATGGGGAGGCCAAGGCCCTGGGGTGAGACGACTCCACACCAAGGCCTGTGATACGGGGGAGACTGGAGATTTTCTTCTGAATCTCACAAATCGTTATTGTTTTGTCTCCCTCTCACATGGAGAAGAGTCCCTGGGCCTCGGAAGATTTCCAAAGAATCCAGTTTTGCTAAGTGTCATCACCTGACCCAACCAAAAGACATATTGGTCTAGGTTCTCAGGCCAGTAAGGGTCATTACAGTTGGTATTATAGGTAAGTCCTTCTAAAACTTCTGGAGCCAGACGAATCTCCATGCAGATCCCAGCACTGTAGATCTCTTCTGGGATCCAACATATCTAGAAGTCCCCCAAGCTTGGACAGATCGTTAAAACTGTTCAATAACCAGGATAGAGGGTGTGGCAATGGCTCAGTCTGTGAAGTGTTTGCTTTGCAAACACAAGGTGCTAGTCCCATTGGCAGAACTCACTTAATAAAGAAACTGTACTCTCGCAAAGCCAGAGCTGAGGAGGCAGACAGGCAGGTCCCTAAGGTTCATAACCAGCTACCCTAGTCTGCCTGGCGAGTTCCAGGCCTGTGAGAGACCCTAGCTTAAAAATACAAGATGGATGATACTTGAGAATAAGATCCAAGGTTATCTATCCTCCGGGCCCCAAGCACGTGTGCACATCCACGCACAAATACGCATGTGCACCAGCCTAAATAACATAGTGCCCTGGTGATCCCACAGGGGACATTAACTATATCATTGGTGACCAATCCAATGCAGTTCTCTCATAATCAATATGGGGAGAAAAAGCTTCAAGCAAAAGATTTTGGCAGGAAATGAAGAAGAAGAAAAAAAGTCTGCTCTGAATTAGGACTCTCATTTAGCCTAAATAGATCTACCTCCTGGTTACGATTCTTTAGCCAGTTCATTGCCCCCATGTAACGTGACATTCTCGCCAAGCACCCGTCAGCTCACACATTTACGGGTCTAACCTTTCTTTTCCCCTGGACCTGGACTCTTTATACCACTCCCATCATTGGTAGGTTCGGTAGAAGCTGTTCTCTCCTCACAGGCAAAGACATTAGAGAGCAAATTGGGTACTGGAGCAGATGTGAGTCATTCATGTTAGTATAAAAACTACGGAATAAAACCCATTATGGCCCCAGAAAGCTGTGTAAAGCAGCATATGGAGCAAATGTAAGCTGGAAACAGGAGGAAGCTGTGAAGTCCGATGCATATGCTCCCCGGCGGCGCGCTTGCTGTGGGCTTTCACACTTTGCTTTCGTTCCTTTTAGCTGTCAGCTTGCCACTCTCCTTCAGCTCACTGCACAGCCAGCAAGCACCCTTTGTTCCTTTCGGATCACAGTCCTCACGTCCCTCCTCCCTGCCCACCAGGAGTTTTCAAGGGGGGGGGGGGTGTGCGTGTGTGTTCTTGCCCCTGTGACTCTATGCATATCTTGCCATCTGAACACTCACTAGATCTGTCACCACCCACGCGGCTCCCCCATGGCCAGCCTCATACATTTGACCAACTGGGGCAAGGTGGTTTTCCATGGAGGAGTTTGCCTCTTCTAGACCAGGGGGGAAAGGTGGACAGGGGCTAGGCAGATGGTGGCACAGGAAGATGAGAGGCTTACATGCTGTTCCAGCCCTGGCAGGGTTCCCCTGATAGGGGAGAATTCAAAGATGTCTGTCTTTATTCCACAGCCCTACAGGCGCAAGTCTTTGAGTCAACCCCTGCAGTGGGCCCTGTTCAAGTTTTAGCTGTAAATAATGCATCAATCCCCCTCCGCCTCTGCGTTCTTGTTTCTTCTCTCTACCGTAGATCCTGTCAAAATCACATGTCCTGGGTCTCCTACCAGGGTTTTTTCTGCAGTGAGCAATGGCATCGTCTGGGCTGAGTGTAAAGGAGAAGGAGCTGTCATCAACCCCACGCCCACCCTTTCTGACACATTGGTACTGTTTTCGTCAGAGGGATGAAGTCAGACGGTTGGCCCTCTCATCTTTGGTGACTACATGGGCAGCTCTATCTCGGGGTTCAGGCACTTGGCGGTCACCTTATTTAATAATCGATATCTATTAAAAATTTTACTTTATGATCCCATACCTCAGCCCTTCCCTCCACCTTTTTTATTTTCTCATGCACTACTGGATAATTTGTTTCCTGGAAAGGGATTTAGAGTTTTACATTTCAAAAGCCTGTTTTTTTTTTTTCATTATTTTGAAATACCCCCCCCCCAAACTTTCTTTGTTCCTTATCCAAATGCCAAGCGTCAAATTTACTATTGCTACAAGGATAGTCTTGGCTGATTGTAGAAACGGATTTGCTTGTGGATGATGGGGGCCCCTCCCCCACGTTTTGCATAGAAAATGCAGTGTTCTCCCAGGTATGAAAGAGTGAGTCGGCTTAATGAGAAAGAAAGAAAGAAAAACAGAAGACAAACCCTTAACTCAAATAACGAGTGGGGATTCTGACAGAGAGGAGCCGAGTCTGAGGAGTAGGGGAACCCAGTGACAGTTGTTATGCCCTGGATCCCCTCCTGCTTTATACATGATAGTCATCTGCATTGGAAGACCTCAGCTTGAGGGCCTCAGCCTACAGCTAAGTCTTAGGCGTAACTAAGCCCTCTCAAAACTGCCGGGAACTTTAAAGAGGTGCCGGGCATACCCTAAGGGTGTATAGCCACAAAATTAAGACACCCACCAGAGGCCAAGAGCACATTTGATATGGAGTCACTAGCTGAGAAGAGCCCAATGCCTCAGTTTGCTTGAGTTCCTTGTGCTCATCTTTTTTTTTTGGCACAACTGTCAACAACGTCCCCTTTCATGTTCCAGACATTTCTGGTATAGATATTAAATGGATAATAATTTTAAAAATTGGTGTTTCTAAAAGAAAGATGGCTTAAAACATGGGTCCTTGCTCTTCAAATTGATATATACATATACATATACATATACATATATATTAGAGAGATAGAGAAGCCCTAAATAGTCACACAGGATTATTTTGACAATATGTACAAATCAAGCGGGCTTTGCATACGGTAACCATGTGGCACATAGCATGACGTCAGTGTATTTTCTGGTCCCATGCACCTTTCTAAAGATGTTTCACCCACATGTCAGCTCACTGATCCTGGAAGGCACCTGGATTCCTTCGGAGGAGCAGAAGCTCCAGAGCCCAGGCTCCACATGAGTGGATGGAGTGAGAGGAAGCCGAGGAATATTGGTGTAAGCATGATGAAACCAGAAGTAGGGAGCATTGGGGGGGGGCGGCACGGTTATCACAGCAACAGGGAATGTGGGGGGCCATGGAAGTGATTGCCTGCACCTGGTCACCACCAACACAAATCAACTGCGACCATAGCTTTCCAGATGAGCAACAGAAACAGATGCCTAGACGGTAATGTGAAGTCATGCAGTCTCCCGGAGGATCTTAATGGTGGGTAGCTCACTCAATAACCCCTCCCCTTACCAAAATACAAATGACAAAAATAATGGATAGAGTAAACAGAACAGGTATGTAATCAGGATCTAGCTTGCTGTTTGCCAGTTTGCAAATTACATGTAGCCACACGCAGATGTTCCTAGACACCTTGGAGACTTAGCTAGGAAAAGGGGAGAAATGAACCAGAATCATAGGTCTAACAAGGACCTTGGACATCATTTAGTTCAGCACTCTTCACTGTGTACTTAAAGAAATTGTAGCCCCTAAAATCTGAATGATCAGCCAGCAGCAAGACAGTGTGTTGGTGATCAAACCCGGAGTATCCCTATACACCATGTTCCAAAGGGACATTCTTCCCAGAGGAACAGGGAGCCGAGACATGTCTGGGAATGGAGATGGGGAAGCCACTGAACTCAGAAGATTCCAGATAATCCACAAAGCAGCAAAGACTCTGAGCGGTTTGCTCAGGGGGCTATAAATAAAAGCCCCCCCCCCCCAGTTCTGTCAGAAAATAAAAGCTGGCAATTGGAACAAAAGCCTAAGCATTAAAGATCTGGTCCCTCCTCATGTCTCTTGGATGACAGTAGGACTCCTAAATAAAGGTACCTTGGTCCAACTAAAAATTAGCTACATCCCAACAGGAAAACCATTTTTAGAGCCATGCTCTGCACCTGTCTTCCATTTCACTTGCTAAGTGCAGTACAAATATTAATTAAACATAGATTATTTGAAAAGTGATCTTAGCGTTTGAACTTAACTGTGCTTTGTCAGAAACGATATTAATATCATCCTCCTGTTGTAGTTTTCTCTGTGCAATTTACTTCACACATCCCCTGGCTATTTCACCTTTTGTGTCGTCATTTTCATAAAGCAAACGAAAATAATATTTCTCTTGTGCACAAAAGAGCCAAATCCCCTTCTCTGGCTTGAGCCGACAAAGGCCAGTTTGAACGATAATGGAAAAGGACCCTGATGTACAGTCCAAGCCCAAATCCTCAGGGAAAAATAATGCATCTCTTTGGGGGAAAAATCGCTTATACTTATGAGGTAGGATTTTCAATTTATAAAGGTTTTCCATTTCTTTTGATTGCCAGGATAACTGCATTCCAGAAAGGTTAGCCTTCTCCTGTATTAAGACAGAACTGCCTCTCAGCTCTGGGATGCAGACTCAGAAATGGTGAGTGACAAGCATCTCTCTCCATGTGCTGGACCACCAGCCTGGGGGATTTTCAAGCAGTGCTGATCAGAGGGCTAAAATCTATTACCCAGAGAGATGGGAACGTTCCTCTCACTGATTCCTTCCCCCATCTTTGCTTCCAGGCCTGAATTCCAAATTGATTTCCTTAATAACTATTAAAGATCTTTTTAATTAAACCAGGCATCCTCTTCCTTGGCAAACTTTTCTTGATGACATCTCTGGTTAATTAAAGGTTTAAGCTGAAAAGACGTATTATATAAGAACAAGGGAAGCTGCTTTATGGCATGCCCGTGAAGGATCCTGCTGACTCCTGCAGCGGAAACCCAGCTCTGCCTAGGAGTTGTTCATCTTGCCTTTCCAGGCAAGCAAGGCCCCCAGGAAGTGTTACTGATAAAGGTGTCTGGGTTGGGTGAGGCAGGTTTTCTCTTTCCTGTATTTCTGTTTCTCCCTTTTGACTTGCCTGGTAAGTGTTCCTCAAGTGTTTCTCACTAAAAGCATCACTCATTGCCATCCCAACTCACCGATGCTGACAAAACGTTTCATTTTCATCCAAAATTCCTGAGGTAGTCGATACATTTGCAATAAGGGAAGAAAGAATAGAGGCCTTTCCACCCATCGATGAATTGCAACCACCTCTACAAGAGAACATGCCAGTTATTCATAAAAAAAATAAATAATAATTTGGGATGTGTATGTGTGTGTTTGTTCATTAGTAAATTGCCCTGATTCGTTCACTTCCTCACTCCTAGGCCCCTATTTTGAAATGGCACAAGGATATAAAGTATAGAGAGTCACTGAAAAGCAAAGCTTTTCTTCATACAAGGTTAGAGAGCTTAAGGTAGGAATTTCACCTATGAGCTTATCTTTCTGCCTCGGAGATTTGAAACAAAAGATTTCAAACCTAGATGTCTGTGGAAATTAGGGAATTCTTCTGTTAAAAAGTCACTCATTTCTACCTCACCTGCCCTCATCTTACCTTTCTCCACCTCACCTGCCAGCATCTCACCTGCCTGCACCTCACCTGCCCCCACCTCACCTGCCCCAACCTCACCTGCCCCTACCTCACCTGCATGCACCTCATCCGCCTGCTGAAAGTTTACAGGTAGATTCTCTAGATACACAGGTATGGTGTCCCTTGGTTTAGTAGATGGCTTCACATCAATTCAATGCTACCTGTAAGCCTGCCTAAAATGGCAAGGATGGTCCCCTGTTTCTGTGTTTTGGTCTGACAGACGATTCAGAAAGGTAAGGACCAAGCCTCACTAATATTGTTAAGGAAAGGGAGCTGCAGTTCTATGTAACACCAAGTAAGAAAAGGAAAAGACTACACACCACACAGAGATCACCAGGTCTACATCAATTTACTCAGGAGATCCTATCTTTTTTTTTCTTCCCATGTAGATTAAATCCATGCATGCTCTCTTAGGGTCCTCGCTGCTGTCTAGGTTCCCTGGGATTGTGAAATGTAGGCTGGTTTTCTTTGCTTTATGTCTAAAAGCCACTTATGAGTGAGTACATATATTTGTCTTTCTGGGTCTGGGTTACCTGACTCAATAGGATGTTTTTAGATCTAGCCGTTTACCCGCAAATTTCAAGATGTCATTTTTTTTTTCTGCTATGTAGTGTTCCATGTACATTAAAATGTACCACATTTTCCTTATCCATTCTTCGGTCAAGGGGCATTTAAGTTGTATCCACGTTTTGGCTATGACAAGCAATGCTGCTATGAACATAGCTGAGCATATATGTCCATGTGATCCGATTGAGCATCCTTTGGATATATACCCAAAAGTGGTATTGTTGGATCTTGAGGTAGGTCGGCTTGCTAATTTTCTGAGAAATCACCACACTGACATCCAAAGGGGTTGTGCCAGTTTTCACTCCCACCAGCAATGCAGAAGTGTTCCCTTTCCCCCACATCCTCTCCAGCAAAAGTTGTGATCAGTGTTTTTGATCTTGGCCATTCTTACAGGTGTAAGATGGCATCTCAGAGTTGTTTTGATTTGCATTTCTCTGATGACTAAGGATATTGAGCATTTCCTTAAGTGTCTTTCAGCCATTTTAGATTCCTCTGTTGAGAGTTCTCTGTTTAGGTCTGCTTTTTATTAGATTATTTGTTTTTTCATCAATGATTCCTTAACCATGAAAAAAAACCCACAGAATTGCCAGGCATGGTGGGACATGCCTTTAATTACTTGGAAGGCAAAGGCAGGCAGATCTCTGAGTTTGTGGTTAGCCTGATCTACAGAGTAATTCCAGGACAACTGGGGCTACACAGAGAAATTCTGTCCTGAAAAGACCAAAATACCAAAGAAAGAAAGAGAGGAAGGGAAGGAGGGAGGGAAAGATGGAGGAAAGAAGGAAAGAAGATTCATTCAGAATCACCTAGAGAACTTATATTACTGGCCATTTGATTATAAAATTAATTTAAACGTATGGAAAATATATTC